CACACACACACACACACACACACACACACACACACACACACACACACACGGTTTTGGTTAGTCTTCCGGCTGCCCATTTGGATAAAAGAGCGAAATGAGGATTGCATTAGAAGCATAGTTAACCCGTAACGAATTTGAATAAAGAAGCCAAAAACACAGGTTTGCACAATGTATCCGCACAATGTATTGCGAAATGATCCAGGATACATTGTGCAAACCTGTTTTTTGTTTCTTTATTCAAAGATTGGATTGTTCAGAGCAGAGTCAAACAGAAAATAGAATTCATATAAACAAGAATAACGAGTAGGTGCACAAGCATCACTGTTTGCGACACTCAACCATATAACTCAGTATCTCTAACCACTGATTACCATGATCTCGGAGTCCCTATTCAAGGAGCCTAACGCGACCTATATGGCCGAGTCGCCTGGTTAGGGTCTTTGTTTGACTGTCTTTGACTTTTTCATTCACTACCTGCATCGACGAACAACACAAGCCATGAGAATCTATTCGGTGACGTGCGCAACACATACCCTCAACAACGTAGCCAAAGTCCAAGTTTTATTATGGGCATTACTTACAAGCAGATGCTTTCCTTGTCCCACAGGGTGTTTACACGATTTGAATTGTAACAATGATGAAAAAAATTCCATAAGATGTATTCGGTTGTGTTATGTGTGGTCATGGATGTTGGAATGCAATGTGTGTTAGTGATTCGTCAAGCTTTACCTTGAAAGAATCAATCGTCTTGGCACAAACGACATGAGATGGTAAGGAATTCCGACGAAGAAATGACGTCGACAGTCCAGTCGAGAATTTTGGAGTAGTGACTTGAATGGATGCCCCGCAGATGAAAGTTTGATGACAACGTCAAAAGTCGGCGACAAGGGTGGTTTGGGTTGTGTAATATTTGGTACACTAAAATTAAGTCTCCTCAAATTCGACGATACTGAGCAGAGTACAAAACCAATGACTTAAGTCTTCCCATATATGAATCATAATAGTCCTTGGACCATCTTCGTGGCGAGCCTTTGTGGGCACTCCAAAGTCTCATGATTAGGTTGTAACCATGGTTTCCAAGTTTGGATGGCATACTCAATATGCTGTCGGATGTATGCTGACACCAGTCGTGAGAATAAAGATGGTTTAAAATGACCGAAAACTCGTTTAAATAGACCGATATGTTTGAGTGCCTGTGGAAGTCATACTTTACTCGTGTACTTCGGTCTCCCATCGATCCTGGTCTCTACTAACCTATTCGCCTCATCAGTGAACGAACACTGACTTTCTCTTTGGTGACACCAATTTACTGCAGAACTGCTGTCACATTCTCCCGTAGTTCATATGCTATTGTAGTTTACGAAAACAGCGACTTCTGGTTGTTACTGTGCTGAATCTTTTAATTTGCCGATTGATTTTGCATGCATACTGGAAACTATGCTGAAAGATGATCATTCCCATCTGTCGCAATGTTGGTCTCAGTTCAACTAGGTTTTAAAAAACTTCTGTGCTGTTAAAAGACCAGTCCTCTGTTTTTTTACAACCATCATACATGTGAAATTCATTCAATAAACTGACTGTGACAGAACGATTTTCTCATCGAATTCCATTTTTGTGTCTTCGGATCATAGTGTTCATCTTTTTCTATCCTACAATTTTTCTATGCAATATACTCAAGATTCTTTTACGTACATGAGGACACTATTCACCTACTGCAAGTCCCATGGCCATTGAATTCAGGTGTGGAAAAGAGGATAATGCCCGCCCACCCACACCCACTGTGACCCGTGGACTTCATAACAAATTCTGCATTAGAACAGGTGCATTAGACATCCCGAGATTTTGTACTTTGGTATGGTAACTGGCAGTGACCGATGCACATCAGTGTAAGATACGGTCATGTGACAGCCCGAGTGACTGTGGCCAAACGCCCACACCCCAGTCTCAATGACCTTGAAAGAACAAAGACATCCGACCGTGGCGCGTTGGAAGATGTCTACAGACAACGATAAATCCAGGATGCTGTGTGTCTGTGTGTGATAGGTCAAGACGAAGTGTGGTACGAGATTTAAAGCGGAAGCAGCTAAACATCAGAAAAAGCTTTCGGAGAAAAATCAATGCAGATTGCTACCTAGGGCCTCAAACTCCGTGAGTGAGGCATCGTGTGCTTGAGTTGAACGTTTCGGTGCGAACAACGCAACCAACACTTACAACCGAGCCCCCGCAGGAGGGAGAACAAGAAAATGAGAAGGGGGCACGACACCAACAACCTTATGAAACAGAAAAACGTCTACTTGGAACTGGAATTCATGTAACTTAGAAAAACGATGGGAATTTGGTCAATGTTTGTGATAACTGACAAAGAGCACTGTACAACTATTTTGTCCTGTTTGGGACTCGTCAGCAGTGCGTACTTTTTGTGACCCTGTCAGGACTTGAACCACGAACATTCGGGTCGGAACTTCAAACCCTTACCCCTGAGCTCTAAATCGACTGGGCCATTCGCACAAGGTGATAACCGTCAACCGTGTACCGCAGGGATAACGGTTTGAAGTCCCAACCCGAATGATCGCGGTTCAAGTCCTGACAGAGTCACAAAAAACGTACGCACTGCTGACGAGTCCCCCAAACAGGATGAAACAGTTGTACAGTGCTCTTTGTCGGTTATCACAAACATCTGCATCACATTTGAATGCAATTGCCTCGCGGGGAATTCACGATCTTCCAAGCGGTGAAACCCACACCCAAGACCATCAAGAGTGGTGGCTGGTACCTCTGAACAATCCAAGCTGGCTACTCTAAAAGGAATTTGGTCAACTTTAGCGACGAAAATAAATTTCATATGAATGGACCGGATGCGTGGAACTATTACTACTTCAGTAGGCGGATTAACGATCCGCACTCCGTAATGTAACGACCAACCAAACCCACCATACTACAAGATTCTGATACATATATCTGGGCATTGGAGCGGCCTCTTATGAAAGCAATGGCATCCTAAAGTCGATTTCCAACATTAAAGTATCGCGCAGTTCACAACTCGTATCTAAGAAAATGCTGAGCACTATTTCACGGCATGGTGATCAGGGAACACTACAGATCCGAACCCAGCATTGCCCGAAAGATGTATAAACACTCCCGAGTTGACATTACAAAGCACGAATTAGAAGCGTCGTGGATTAGGGAGTGGAATAACGGGGACGGCGCATCATTCTAAATCTTGGAAGGAGATCATATTTGAGATTTGTAGAAGTTTTGAGACGGAATGGCCAATACTGTAGGGCTTTTCGCTGGCTTCAATGAGCAGAGTTCAGCGGAGCAATACTTTTGCCACAGGGTCAGATCGGATTACGAGTGGCGTTTTCTCCACGGGAGACTGAAGTTCATGACCTCCAGACCAAATGCACTTTAGACAGTAGAGTCGATACACAAAGCCTGCTTCGGGACAATTGATCACTTCATATTGTCCTGCGTCTGGACCACGGACGAAATTGTTTAACGAAACCAAAGCGCTCGCTTGATGTGTGCAAAAAATAGTCAATTTTTAGACGCACACATTCGCACCGTGTGTGTGTGTGTGTGTGGGAGAGGGGGGGGGGGTTGAGCACAAATGAACAATCTTTTAGTCTACGACTGATCAACTGCTAGTCTTCAGTCTTGCGAACAACCCGTAGCTCACTTTTCTCCTTTTTCTAAACATTATTGTGATGAACAGTAGACGAGTATAGCCCCATAGTCACGAGGATCGGCTGTTCAGTGATGGAAACCGGTAATCCAGGCTCCGGGACTTGGAGTGGCAAACCACATAAAGCTCCGCTAGATTAGGTGAGGTATTGAACCAGACGACAGGAAAACTGCGTAAAACCAAAGTTGGGTGGTGGTGACGATAATGCACTTCCGTTTACCGGTTTCTTGCTTGCTTTCTCATGACTGCCCATTTGGATTAAGGAGTAAAAGGTAGATTAGAATGTTCAAATCAAATCAGTATTTAACATACCTAATGACCGATACGTTCTGATGATCGATATCACTGCACAGAAACGATAGTTCTTTATTTGATCATCAAAAGAAATGACCGAGGCCAGCTACTGCTACCATCATCCCCATTAGGAGAGGATTTTGAAGGACTATTGCCCAAATTCTTTTTTTTCTGACTCGGTTCGCTCTAGTTCAATTCACAAAAACCAATATCTTGTCCAAACCCGGGCCCTAGGCTGGTTTATGTCATTCGGGTGGCGGACTGAGACAACGAGTAGCTAGGATGTTAACAGAGTAAAAAAACCCGGCCACGTGTCCGCGTATAATTCCGCCTCAATCTTTTGCCCACCAATAGCAAGCGTAAACACACACACACACACGCACATAAATACGCACTGGATTAACCCGTATCGAATTGAGTTAACCGCATGCTTATTACATCCCATTGCTTTGTCCTAAACGGGTGATCAGAACGGTTATCTAAGTTAGTTATTTAAATCGAACCAATTTTGTCCAAACTCTGAATTTTACAAGTGCAAGGTTGTATGAACTGAACCACCAGACAGTGCATCTTGTCGTATGTGTTGGGGCAATCATATTTGCTACCTTCTCGTAATGAGGATGTTTCCACTGAAGTGAGAGGGGGCTATCTGCAGACTGATGAGCCACGGGAAAGCTAGGTCATTTTGCCGAGCTGAAACAACCCGATTGCAAACCTAGCAAAAAGAGGCGTTTGGACTGGATCCAGAATATCCTGATTGCGATG